TTAGTTGAAACGGATGGTTCGATGATGGCAGCAGCACAAGGGGCAATCAAATCGTTATCGTATGGGTGAACAATGGGAATTTTGCTAGCGCTAAAGACACTGGTGGGGGTACAATCGCGGAAAAGGCAGGTAACAACCATGATGTTATCTCTATGGTGGAAAGCAGGATTGTGGCGTTTCAACCAGTTCATACCAAGAATGATTGGGTGAGCGGAAGGCTCCAAGTGGCGCAAAGTGATTAATTCTTCGTGATGTGTACCGGCTATTTGCATGAACAAGGTAGATGACATGGAGCTTGATTGGACGGAATTATTGGCTAGGCGGAAAGCGGTAGCTTCAGGAGAAGGCTTGGAAGGAAGACCGGTTTTACGGACCAACGATGCATCAATAAAAGATGTGGAGGCGCCGGAGTCGATAAGGGCTGTGGTAGTAAAAAGAATATCATCAAGTTTTATAGTTATAGGAATTACCAATAAATTTTCGTCTAAACTTTCGGCAACATACAAAATGTCGTCTGCAATACACCTATCAATGTTGGCTCGCTTATGATTTACTGATTCTTTATAAACTTGCATAAGTTGGTTGTTAGGCTTGCGTTTCTTTGTATTGTTGATATGATTAATGTTGTGGACGGCAGTGATAGCGTTAAGTGACATGGGCTGATTATAGTTGTCAACGAGAATAGTTGAAATCGTAGGATGATTGTTGCGATGAGGCTTGACGGGGCAGGAGTTTGTGAAGTGGTCATCACCACCACAATACATACAAAGTTTGTATTTCACACGGCGGTCTTTCTCAGCTTGCGTCAAGGGACGATACTTACCAGGTCTAGTTTCGTTGATATTACTGATTTCCATTGGGGTAGATGTTGAGGTTACATTGGAGTCAGGGCGAGAGTAGCTGGTAGTTGATTTGTTGTTATAGTTGCTGGATCTATTGTTGTTTTCATAATTTTTTTGTTTCTGGCGTTGGAATAAACGGTTGTCAATATCAATAGATGCATTAAGCAAGGTGTTTAGGTCGGTGATGGGCTCTCTACGGGCTAACTCGTCCTTGATATTGTCTTTTAGATTGAGTAGGTATTGTGAGATCAAGGCCTCGTTGTTCCAGTTGAGTTGCATTGATATACGTCTAAATTCCGTTGCGTAAATGGCGGCGGCTCCAGTTTGCTTCAAGGCGCGAAGATCAGACTCTGCATTTACGATAGGGTTAATATCACCAAAGGTGGAACGCATGACATGTTTAAAATGGGCATAATTAGTTAATATTTCGTGCGGGGCGTCAACGTTGTCGATATCCTTTAAGTAAGGCTCCATAAAACTGAATGCATGACCTGTCAAACAGTTGATTGCGTAAAGGATCTTTTTACGGTCGGTGTCGAAGCGAATTTCATCTCCAGCAAAAATAAGTGAGAGAGAAATGAAAAAGGAATCACAGTAGCTGGACTTTCCACTGAATGGCGTAGGTGGTTTAAGGCGTAAAGGTACGTTATTGGTTTGAGTTTGAGGCTGTGGGTGATCGGACTTTAATACTACATTTGTAGCAATATATTCGTAAATTTTCGTATCAAGTTCGGTAAGCTGTTGGCGATATTGTTGATCCATGGAAACAAGGCGCTGTTCGAGAGTACGATTGATTTCCAAAATCTCATTTTGGCGTTGGATCATATTATCTAGAGCTTGAATCTGTTCGTCAGTAAGATTGGTCATGATTACAAAGGTTTACAAAGATTAAAGTTTTTTAGCTGGGAGTGGAAGTGAGGTTTCACGAAATTCTTGAGGGGATAAGTAACCAGAAGAGAACAAGGCAAGAAGGTATTCAAAATAAATTATTTTGATCAGATATAATGTCAGGAACGAGGGAGGAACGAGACAGGCAGGACAGGACAGAGAATGAATAGCTTCTTGAAGAGTAGGTTATTTATTTAAGAATAGGAAAAAGAAAAGAGAAGATGATTATGAAATATATCTGATAAAGAAAACTGGGAGAAGTGAAATTTATCAGCTATATTTATAGAGAAAGGAAAACAAGAAATTAAATAAAAGAATAAGCAATGACAAAAGTTAGTCATAGCTTATGTGGATCATGACAAAGGATTTAAAGAGCTGACAGATCAATGATGAATATTGAGTCTGAAAGCTGGTTACTCATATTGCATATTTGGGGCATAAAATGTAACAGGATCATGACAGTTTGTATATTAATTTTTTACCAGTTCCCTTCACATATGTGGTCCTCCATCGTTCGTGAACAATGTCCAGAGGAACTTTATTCTCAACAAACGAGACGGCCAGAACATGTCTGCAAGTAGTTCGAAAGTTTTTTCTGAGCTTGCAGAGACAGCTTTCTCCAGGGCGCACATGGCTTACATGGTCAGGCTTTTCTTCAGCCGCCTTCATTTCCACCAATTCATTCTTGATATTTCCAAAAGCAAAGCTTGAAACATTTAAGTTGATCAGAGCAAGTTTACCAATTACATCATCTTCCAAAAAAACTGTTCTTTGTGTCATTGATTCCTTGATTGATTGTACATTTCGATAATCCCTCTAATTTTTTTTTTTTTTTAGGGCTAACAAAATAAAAATATGTGTGTATCCAAAGTAATTTTTTTTTATTCACTTGACAGTGGGTCCACTTACAGTGTGTATCCAAGGGAATTTTTTTTTAATTCACTTGACAGTGGGTCCACTTACAGTGTGTATCCAAAGCGAATTTTTTTTTATTCACTTGACAGTGGGTCCACTTACAGTGGGTTTCCAAAGGGATTTTTTTTAATTCACCTGACAGTGGGTCCACTTACAGTGTGTATCCAAAGCGATTTTTTTTTATTCACTTGAAAGTGGGTCCACCTACAGTGTGTATCCAAAGTGATTTTTTTTCTTCACTTGACAGTGGGTCCACTTACAGTGTGTATCCAAGGGAATTTTTTTTTAATTCACTTGACAGTGGGTCCACTTACAGTGGGTTTCCAAAGCGATTTTTTTTATTCACTTGACAGTGGGTCCACTTACAGTGTGTATCCAAGGGAATTTTTTTTTAATTCACTTGACAGTGGGTCCACTTACAGTGTGTATCCAAGGGGATTTTTTTTTAATTCACTTGACAGTGGGTCCACTTACAGTGGGTTTCCAAAGCGATTATTTTTTTATTCACTTGACAGTGGGTCTACCTACAGTGTGTATCCATAGTGATTTTTTTTTAATTCACTTGACAGTGGGTCCACTTACAGTGTGTATCCAAAGTAATTTTTTTTTAATTCACTTGACAGTGGGTCCACTTACAGTGTGTATCTAAAGGGAATCTTTTTTTTATTCACTTGACAGTGGGTCCACTTACAGTGTGTATCCAAAGCGAATTTTTTTTTATTCACTTGACAGTGGGTCCACTTACAGTGGGTTTCCAAAGGGATTTTTTTTAATTCACTTGACAGTGGGTCCACTTACAGTGTGTATCCAAGGGGATTTTTTTTTATTCACTTGACAGTGGGTCCACTTACAGTGGGTTTCCAAAGGGATTTTTTTTATATTCACTTGACAGTGGGTCCACTTACAGTGTGTATCTAAAGGGAATTTTTTTTTCTTCACTTGACAGTGGGTCCACTTACAGTGTGTTTCTCAACGGGGTTTTGTTTACCCACTAAACAGTTGGTTCAATCTTTAAAAAATCATAGAGCCTTAGAATTTGCTTTTTTTCTGCCGTTTTTTTTATATATCATCGAGGATACATGTTATTAATACATAAAAATTATCAAAATAGTTTTAAGAATTTTTTCCATTCAGTTATTAATTTTTTTTGATTATTTTTTGAGAAATTTTGTTCATTTTTAGAGTTTGGGTCAATTTTTAAAAAATCATAGAGCCTTTGGATTTGCTTTTTTTTGCCATTTTTTTTTATATATCATCGAGGATACATGTTATTGATATATAAAAATTATCAAAATAGTTTTAAGAATTTTTTCCATTCAGTTATTAATTTATTTTGATTATTTTCGAGAAAATTTGTTCATTTTTAAGGTTTGGGTCACAAAAATACATAAAAGGCTATTTTTTTTGGCCCTATTTTTTTTAAAAGTAATAATATGTTTAATAAAGTCCTTAATCGGGATCCTTAAAAAAATAATTTTGTTGCTTGTGAGGGCCCTAAGAATGATTAAGGAATCAGTTACCCAATATAGATAGGTAGTACTATCATATCACAAGGTTACAAGAACACAGTGACTAATGCTTACTAAAGATATGCAAGTACAATGTGTCTAAGATGAGCGTAATGCCAAGTGTATCATATTTACAAAATAAGCACTTAAAGGTAACATGATACACACTGGGAATATGATAACAACTTCAAAGATACACTAAAGATAGTCGCACAGCAGATAGTTTTTTTTATATAAATACTTGTTCATTTTATTTCATAATAAAGACAATCTTATAGACAGTCACAAATTACTTATATACTGCCTTATAATTTTACTTACCTACAAACACAACAAGCCCTCTTTGCAACAAGAAAAACCCCCAAAATGCCATCAATGACAGCTATTGGTACCCGTCGTTACGTAGAGTATCATCACTCGCCCAAAGCTTGGATGACCTCTGAGATCCTCTCGGTTTACATCAAAAAAATTGGATATTGGTTTTGGTCGAGAGGGTAGATAAGTGGCTATTCTTTTGAACAATGCTGCAGTGCATAAGTTGAAGTTCACGCCGGTGAACATGAAGTTGCTGTTTCTTCCTGAAAACACAACGAGTACACTATTGTTAGAAAATATTAGATCAAAATGTAAAAAAAAAATTCGTTCACAGATAAAAAAAAAATTCGTTCACAAGGTAAAAAAAATTAAGTTTATCTTCCGAAAAAAAAAATTAGCTTACCACTTAAGTGTATCTATAGTTGACCTGTGATAACAGGCGTGGAAAATTCTAGTTGCGACGTCGACGTACATTTTTAACGTTTGCTTCTTCATTTTTGGTTCTTGCTCTTCTCCATTGGTTCTGGGAAACCTATACACGTCGAAATCTTGGGGGAATGCCATTTACAGCACGAAGTGATCGAACAATATCAACCATGTTCAAGTATACAGCTATATCACGGTTCCATAGCCGAAAAACAATCCTATTTGTGTTATTAGTCATGGATCTACAATTTTGATTTGTACATCTGTCACAAGAACAAAAGAAAATTATTAGATCAACAATTATAAACAAGTCAAATCAACATACCTTAAGAGGCCATGTCTGATTCCACGAGGATTCGTTCTTCGTCTATGAGGGCGCAGATTATCGGCCATCCGAAACATTTCAAGACTTTTACGTTCACAAGCTGGGCAGTACTGACTTGTTCTAAATTCATCAATCAAGTACAACCTTTTTCCAGCTTTTTGAAGCAACCGATGGAATCCGAGGCCTCGGACCGCTCATAAAATCTTGTAATAGAAGATGACCAGTTACACATAACATAAACTGCTTCGAGACCAAGCTGTTCATCTAGTTTTGAAATAAGATCCTCGTTTCCTTACTGTGTTCTAACATAGGCAGATAGCCGCAATTTTCTGTGCAAGGGATGAGCAGTACGATGGTTGGTTCGGAAGTTGACTTAGTGCCTTTGGATGATGCCTGTTGTATTGAACCTGTTTTCAAGATACTGTTCAAATTCATCTCTATTCAAGGAATCATAATTAACCAAAAGCCTATCAGAGGCTCCTACTCTAGCGGGTTTCACCGCTTCACGGATTCCACCGTATTTTTTGATCTTTTCAAACTTGTTTTGGTACGTTTTGGTAAATCGAAGCTTGTTTGAATTGTTTGCCGTTGAGTTTTCATGCACACAGAATAGCAAATCATTTCGTCCAGGATCAATTGTAACACATCTTCCAACAGTTTCTTGAGCAATCTCTTGTGAAATGTACTGAATTGATTCAACCATAACAGCAAAAAGAGCAGTATATCTGCTTTCACGATCCATTCTTTTCTTGATCACAGTTACACCTACTCCATCCGTTTAAATAGTATCTCTAAACTAAAACTCGCCATTTTCGTGGTGTTTGAGTGCATCCGAGTTTAGGTTAATTACTTCATACCAAAGTGCTATCTTATCTTGACGATTGGTTCACCGACGACCAAGATTATTTTGACAAATTTTTTTTGAATCGATAGTTGTGTAGCAAGGAATCCAAGAACGGCGTAATGGGAAGCAATTTAACACAGGTAATTCTATATCAATAAATGATAAAGCCAGTTCGTAAAAAGTCCGCATATGTTCAACTGATCTTGCTTTGGAATCGTAACAAATACTATTCCCACGAAACCGGTAGTCAACGGGATAACTGGTAAGGGCAGGGCGAAGAATTTCAAGAGCGTTATTGTAGATAGGGTCCCCGAACGGCTCTCCGTCCAATACAAAATTTTGAGGTAACCTTCTAGCTATAAGTTCCTTAAATCTTGTCGCCGGCTCAGTTATTTCTCTGTATACTTCAGATTTTATCAGTGCATCAATTAATCTTTCAAGTCTTCTATAAGCAATTAATTCAGCTTTTCTTTGTCGAATACGAAGTAGATGATTGACAGCTTGTCGAAGATGACTTCCCAGACGCATCTGAAAATTGTTGCTATAAGATGTAAAGATCTTTACTCCTTCGATTAAATATGCTTGCTGACCATAGCGGAAATCTGGTGGAACAAAACCAGTGACCTCCAAATAATCATCAGAATAAGGCTGCTCACATCAAACAAAATATATTGAGATCTTAAATAGAAGATCTACTAACATGGACAAGCGCCGTTTTTTTTAAAACGTTTTTTTTGAAGGTCAATCTTTTTCCAAAACTGGTTTTTTAAAAAAATATAAAAAATAAAAATAAATATTATCCTGGAACTAGTGCAATTCGATTTTACTAAAATATTGGCAAGATGTTTTTTCGTTTGTTCCTGTTTTGCCTGTTCTTTTGTCCTTTTCTCTGTTTCAATTTAATTTCTCAATGAATTCTCAAACTCGCCAACAAATTTTTCTCCTCTTCGAAATGTAAAGACAACGACAAGCTGTTATTTATGCATTTAGTGATAGCATTGCTACCGAGAACCAAGAAATTGTAGACTTGTTGCACCTTACTGTCAGTAATGTGCATTTGCTTAGAGAACAGCAATTGCAGTACGACTTTTCTGCTGCCGATTTCTCGAGTGAAATTGGAATAGTTATGACTTCCTTGCCTTTGTTTATGACCGGGGCAATTATCACCGGAACGCGAACTGTCGGTGTGGGTGCCACAAGAGTGTCTGAAAGATACACTTTTTGGGAGGTACAACACCCCAACCTCAGCGACGACGACGAAAACCTAGTAGATAGCGTCTGTGCCACATATCGAATGGGAAGGGACTCTTTCAGTTGGCTTGTCAACAGGCTGTCTACTCATCCCGAATTTAATTTTAAGACACCAAACCACGTTCCTATCTACATCCAGATAGCTACCTGTCTTTTAAGACTGGCCAATTGTCCTTTTGGATACAGAAACATGTATGTCCTGTATGGTATTTTGTATGGCAGCTATACCAATTTCACGAGGCGTACGGTGAAGACCCTCAAAGATGTGCTTAGCTATATGATAGATTGGCCTACCAATTCAGCCATGGTGAGTGCTATATCTGCTGGATTCAACAACACTCCCGGTGTAAGTATTCTTGATACAATTAGTGCTATTGATGGCAAAAACTTCACCATTCATAAGCCAACTCCAGCTGCTTATGGAGCAGGGTTCCGTGACGGAAAAAACAACTACACCATTAAACTTACCGCTGTTCGTGACGATAAATGTAGGTTTACTTACATTCGCGTAGGAGACTCTGGTAATAATGACCGATATAAATATGAGAGTTGGAAACTAATTTACTTTGAATACACTAGGCAGAAGTCACGATGCCTCAGCCTATAATTCCAGTGATATCAGCTGGAAGGTCATGAATAATCCTGGGCATTACTTTACTAAAGGATTTTATTTTCTACGTGATTCGGCCTATCCGACCATTGCCAATTTGGTTACACGATTCCCTGAAAGTGAATGTCTCCGGGATCCGCGCAAGAGGTTATTCAACTATTCGCATTCAACCAGAAGAATGGTCATTGAAAAAACTTTTGGTAAGTTCGTTCATCGACGGAGATTCACACAATTCCATATTTACCTGTATAATAATTTGGATATCAATAATATCATCGGGTCGTGTGCTATTCTACACAATGCATGTAAGGCAAGAGGGGAGATAGGTTTCGATCGTGTGGTTCTTGAGCCTGCTGGTCTTGTAGTTGGAGAGCAGGGTGATACATGTGCTATCGGTAACAGTGCCCGCTTGCGCAACTTTAATGCAGCTTATCCTTAAATTTGTTAAGAACTAAATTTTTTTAAAACAAAACAAATTTATTTTTGAAAATAAGCCAATTATATCTTAGTCGTTGTTATGAGGTTTATGTTAATCGGACGAAGGATAACTGATTTCAAGCACGTCGGACAGAATAGGAGAAACCGTCTGACACTGCCATCAATCGCCATGCGACTGGCAGAGGGGATGGAGGCAGTGTTCTTGGGGAAGGTGTTATTGGGAAAGGTGTTCTTGCCGAAGGTGTTTTTTGGGAGGATGCTGTTAAGGACGATGTTGCTGGTGATGGTGTTGTTGGCGTCGGTGTTTGTTGTAGGTGCTGTTGCTGCTGGCAGAAGGACTGTTGAACTGATAGTCATAGGCTTCAGGAATACCATTGTCATCAGGGTGGAAGTGGTGGCTGGTGTTGTTGGTGTAACTGTAGTCACCGTTCTCAAGCGCATTGTAGCTGGTGGCGTTGTTGTTGCTTGAGCCAAAATCCCCTTTCATTACCATCAGCATCTGGCGCTGGATTTTCAGACTTACCTGCATCTACTCAGCAATGCGAGACTGCACCTGGTCCCGTTTCTCCATGGACTCCAACATCAGACCGAAAAGCGTTGTTGAACGAGCATGATATCTAGTGAACTTTCTACGCTCCGGCTCTCCATGCTCAAAACGACGTGCCTCAATCTCATTCATAGAGGTGACCAGATGCTCGATCGTTTGGTTGACCGCTCTACTTTAAATGGCAGCCCCAAGAGCCCCACTATTCTCAGCACCATAGTGTTTGACCGCTCTTCCTTGTCTAGCACCGCAACATTACCACGATTATCTATCGTCTCTCCAGCAAGAGAGGTATACACAGTAGTTGGCGTCACGGTGGGCATCTCACTGGTGGGGTTCTCCAACGCATCATGGTAAACCCAGTTTTCAAAAGATGCCGTACCAGTTGGATTCAACGTATCATTGCGATGTCGAAGGCAGCACTGAGAGCAGACCACTTAGACTTCAATGGACTCAAAGGTCTGTTTCCATTGGTGCTGTTGTTGGTCTTGAATGAGTGCCACATGCATGGTACAACTCATTTGGTTCAGCTAGCGTACAATTGGACTCCATCCGCTGGTTGCAATCAGCTAGCGTACAACTGGACTCCATCCGCTGGTTGCAATCAGCATACAATTCAAAAATAGCAAAGGTGCTAGCTGAATTCCATTTTGAGCGTGTGTATCTGGTATCCGAAACTTAATAGTGGCATCAGCAGTGGCAGTAGCCGGTGCAACAGGGGAAACGGCGGCAGCAGCAGGAACGACGACAGGAACCTCCTGTTCTTCTGAAACAGTAGTAGCATGCGAAGGTTGCTACCATAGGCTACACCATTTGGTGTCACTTAAATAAACTGGTGATTGATAGGGTTGTTGTTGTTGTTTTTATTATTCATTTTAGAAGAATTAAGGTAAGGAAACAGTAATAGAATTTTATTTTGTATTTTGACATTTTAGTAGTCCATTTTAGGACCGTTTATTTCTGGAGGCTTCACATTCGATGCCCAAAGATTTTTCATTTTTAAGCAGTAGATTAATAATAAAAGAATATCACAACTTTATTTTTGAAAGAATTCAATTTAGGAAAAAAATATTGATAGAAAGACATTTTTTTTAAAAAAAAAAAAAACGGAGCTTGTCCATATCAGTACATCTCCTATTTGAGATCTCAATATATTTTGTTTCATGTCAGCAGGCTAAATCATACAAATCTGAGAATTCTGGTCCGTTATCCATCAAGATCCAATAGGTTTGCATACTCTGGTCCGTTATCCCTCAAAATCCGTTGATTTCAGCGTACTCCGGTCCATTATCCCTGAAAATCCGTTGACTTCAGGGTACCCCGGACCGTTATCCGTTGTTATGCGATAATTCCGAGAATTCTGGTCCGTTATCCCTACAGATCCGATACTTAAGGGTTCCCTGATTACATTAAACTAATGACCAAAATAGATTTTAAGAAATTAGAAACGGTACCGAAATGGTTCAAGCATTCTAAACTGATATAAGAACTATCTAAGCTAATTTCACTTATAAGGTAAGTCGCAAATCATATCCGAACATCCTTAAACGTGCATTGGATTTCAAAAACGTAAATACAGCGCCCTCCAAAGTATCGTAATCGTTTAAGGTTTTCGTATTTTGTGTAATGACATCACATACTGATTAATAGGGAGACTGTCGTATTTGGGTACGATTCACTTAAAGAATAATTAAGCAAATCGTTTAAATAAATAAAGTATGAAATTAAAACAACCTTTGATGTTGCATATCAGCATACGCTTGTATACTGCTATACAACTTCTCCTACTTCGAGTACATACTTCTATATAAAAGATTGCATGATTGGCCTAAATACGATATACAAATGACAGTTGGATACAGAATGCTATACCACTGAGTTACGATATCACCGATCGAGAAGAGAAACTTCTCAGATCAATCAAGAATTATAAGAAAGAGAAACTTAATATTAATAGTTCTCTCAATGGATTAGCTACCCAGAGAGAGAATAGAACAGCTATTAATATAAATGGTTCATTTACTTATATATTGATATAGTTATACTGCTGATAAAGAGTATAAAGAAATAGTGTATGAATTAATGGATACCTAGCTTCTACAACCAAATATACAAATATCGATAAGACATTTTATATTTGGGATCGTAATTTATTCATTACAAAGATAATGAATAAATGATCAACTATTATGTTCTATTGCCAATTACACTTGACAAACAAGTATGCATCTTTTACAGTAACCGTTGCATGATCTGATAAATAAGTGTCTCGTAATACTAAAGATTTATTAGCATACTCATGCTCCCGATCCACTGATATGGGACAACGTTATCTGGAAACAATTCTAACGAGTAGTATCCATTTAACCCAAGGCGGGAAACAAAGGATAGATCTATTCCAAAACCAGAAAGGTTGACTCATCATTAAAACTCAGGAGAGTTGTGCAATATAAAAAGGATCAATTATTTCATAGCAGCAGAGTTCTTTTAGTCTATTTTTACCCCTAATAAAAATATACTTTTATCTCATTACTTTTCTATGTAATATTTTGTCAAATACCACAGAGACTTTCCAAACGTTTTTATTTTTCTGTTTGTTGTTATTATTAAGTTATGGATCCGGTTGACAGCGCTTCATAGGAATATACACAACGAGTTGAAAAGTTTAATTATTTCTTAAATTCTGCACCAAAAAGTAAATTCCCGTGTCAGAATTTTTTTTAAAAAAAATAAAACTTTTCGATTGGGCGAAAAAACAAAATAAGTGATTGAAGGCCAGATGTTATGATATAAACAACTGTATGAAGGTTTTGTGCACCTTGAAAACTACTCTAGCGTCTTTTATGGGGGTCAGGATAGCGATTCGTGCAGCTAAGCATTTTTATTGGATAACAAAATGGACGAGACTTTGATTTTTTTGAAAAAATGACATGTAAAAAAAAACAAAATGATTAGTTTCTTTCATTTTCTAAAATTTTGAAATAACGATTAGTGTTATGAAGCCACCAGAAAGTACCGAACTTGGACTTGTTGATAAGAGAATACTTGACAGTGTCAATCTCAGTTTCCTGAGACATGTCAAGTGATTCCACCACAGTCAGTTTATACTTCAGCTAGTCCAAGATTTCTTCAGTTTTCTTGGTGAGGAGATTACTACCTTCGTCAGCTTGATAGACAGAAATGAGGCTACTGTCATCGTAAATCACGAAGGCTGGCCTCGAAACAAGTTCATACACCTCAACAATAGCCTGATCGCCGCGACGTTTTACCACCTTTGCAAGCAGACGACGCCCCCAAGAGAATCCAAGTCAACATCGAGAATAGCCATCATGTTCAAAGCAATCTTCTTTCCAGCAATATATTCAGTACTGCCAAATTCCCGATTAGCAGAATAGTACATGTTCTCACTGAACCTATCGAACCACGCTTTGACCAGACTACCACGAGTTTTCATACCCTTATCCCAAACAAGACCCATCGCAATACTTCTCAGCATTACCTCACGACCGTTAATAAGAGCCAAATCACGAGAAGGGTTTTGTTTGTTGGTCTTCATGACAATTGCCCTAATGCGTTTGTTGAATTGCTCGTTCTTTTCAGTTGCGAGAAGCACAGTAGAAGCAAATTGAAGACAATCCTCTACCAAATGGACTATCAAATGAGTCTTTAAACGATTACACAATGAACCACCAGTTTTGGCGTATGGAATCGTAGCACCATTACATTGTTCACCAGAAAGACCATAGATCTCTTCAAAAGTAGTTTGACTGCGCACTGAGGCAGTTGTCGTTGCTGTTGCTGGCTCTCCACGAGTACGTCGGTTACTGGGAACAACGGTACGATCAAGGTTATCCAGATCAATAACAGTATCATCAACGTATTGACGCAATAAATCGAGATAGGCAGAAAAGTTTTTATGTATTTCACAGTTATAACACGATGAGCAAAGCTCACCAAGCTTGTCCAAAGTACTAATAACGTTACCATTCGGTGGAATTGATCATTACAAAGGTTGAGGAAATCAATGTGGTCACGAGCAACTCTGAGAACAATTGGGAGCATCTGAATCGTAAGTTTGAAGTCTCTTAAAGAAAGCTTTTGTATCCTTTGAGATGCGTCGACAAATTGGTAAAAGCCTTAGACCCATACTATGCACACAAATAACTAATGCGATCAACCTGCTTCTTGTCGAAAAAGCAATCAGGAGCTTTGTTGAACGTGTATATGATTAAACCGAGACATAGACCATGCAGAATTTCTACCGGTGTATCCTTGCTAGAATCCCAAGAAGACAACGTCAAAAGCCTTTTGCCAGAAGTTTCCTTGAAGCCGAGGTCCTTCAAGTTTTCGACCATGATATAATCACCCTGTTTGTTACGAACACGTATCGAGAAATCCGTACTATTCGAGTCATCGTTTGGAACTGACATGTGTTCTTCGGCCGTGGTAATTCTATTAGGATCAAAAGCATCAGCATGTCGACACCAGAAGCATTTTCTACACGGATAAGTAGCTGTTGAAGCTTTCAAACAAGTAACACCGGCATGACAAGGATTGTCAGCCTTGATAAACAAAAGAGGAGCAACAACAAAGACTTCTTCCTTGAACATAGCATCAAACATTGGCAGACCAGTTTCCAGTTTCTTCAAATCGGGGACAAGGGAAGGCAACTGTTCCATAGCAGTATGACGATTTGATCCATATATAAAAAATTGATTCAAATAATGATTGGCAACACTAAGAGGAACAGCGGCGGGATTCATCGACCACGAATAAAAACAATTCCATTTTGATGTGGAATTACCACTGGTATCATCAGAGCAAAGGTTGTACGGAATTACTCTAACGACCTGGTAGTTTGACGAATTGGGATTTATGCTTTTTATACGTGATCTAATTGGCAGCGGACGCTTGTACTTATTACCAGTATCAATCATGTCCTGGTGAGCGCGAATCAATCGAGTATTAGCAACAACATCTCTAGAACAATGATAATCGTCACCGTTTATATGTTGTAAGCTGGTAAATGCATCGAAGGATTCATGTTCGGCACGAAAGACATTATTGATGTCAAAGTCGGTTATGGGATAGTTGAGAAGAATGTCGTATAAACAGCAAATTCCAAGATTATTATCGGGTTTAATTGGATACAAATCAACGTTCACAACTTTTGATATTTGGAATATCTTGGCCACTTTAAAATATTGGCGATCACGAAGAGGAATATTGCTCTCAGACAGCAAAGAGACTTTATCCGATACCCAGAGTTGAAGATTTGGACCAGTACTTATCATGGGATGCTCAAACAATCTATCACAATTCCACTTTTCACCTTCACTTAGCTTGATTCGTTGGTTAGGTGTTCGATCAGGAAGATGTGACAGGAAACCAGACATACAGGAATTACCTACGAGAAGTCGCAAGTGTTCAGATACATCATTGAGAAACAAGTCAGGCTTTGATGCGACAACAACAGGAACAGCGGGTGCAGAAGCAGTTGTATTTGTTGTTGCAGCAGGATCAGTGGCAGGAGCAGAGGTATTGGCAGGAGCAGAGGTATTGGCAGGAGCAGAGGTTGAGGCAGGAGCAGGAGCAGAAGCGTCAGCTGCTGTAGCAGTACCAGATGTGCTAGTTGATGTGGCAGGTTCAGTAGGTTCGACAAGAAGTCCGCCGTTATCATCTTTGGCACAATGGGGAGCATGAGGAAAACAAGGTATACAACTTTTCTTGGATTTGTGAAATCTGGAAACGCTGTGGGGAATGAAATAACCACGGAAATCATATATAACATCAGAAGGATCCAAAGCTAGTTGAGCTCTGTACTCTTTGATTGCAATTTCAGCCATATATTTACCAAAATCAAGAACTGATTTGATTTGGACTTCTGAATACTTAAAGCTACCAGACTTGAAGAAAAGAAGGGCATGCATTATGTATTCATTTTTGAAAGGATATGCTGGATTGTCGTTGACATCACCACTCAAATCAAGATATTCATCACTACCATCATCACCATCATCACCACCATTACCACCATCACCACTAGAGCCGTTGTTGACGTCGTCAACAGGAACGGGAGGTTCATTAGATTCGCTATCATTATCAGATTCCCCTCCGTTGTTAAAATCATTGTTGAAATGGTCAAAGGCATTACCACCATCGAATTCTTCTTCACCATCATCACGCCCATCATCATCACCGTCACCATCATAATCATCATATTGATTTTCATCAAATTCATTTGCATGTTCAGACAATGGTTTGGCAGTGCGTTCAGGTTGGATTGGTCTAATGTATATTGATGTAAGTAATTTGAATATATTTAACAGCCTTAAATAACTTTACCTTTCAATGGACTCCATATCAGAACTACGAGATTCGCTTAGCGGGATAGTAGGTTGTTCGTCAGAGGTATTCCCAAAAATAATAATGATAAGTACAAACTGAATATTTTTAAATTGATGAAGACGCTCACTTACTGTTGTTGGATGTCATTGGCAGGTAGTGATCCTTGATTGGACTGAATCGCCTCCAGAAGTTCTAAGTGGTGTCCTGATCTTTGATGCACTTTAAAAGAGTGTCGATTAATTGTACTGTATTTACATAACACACACGTTTGCTCCTGAGGCGGTAAAGCAGGTTTTGCACGGAACTTATTTGTTCCAGGTGTTTTTTTCATAGTGTTTTAAAATCAAAGTAAGTTGTTTATAATAAAATAAAGAATTTTGATAAAGTGCACTCTGGGGATTGTGTTTGGTTTATATATCGTTCAGATCAAAAAATGTGTTTAATGCTTAGCTTATGCGGACATAAGCTATCAATTTGATTGGTGCAATAATTTACAAACGTCATTGCGGAACGATATTTTGTCACGCAACCCAACTTTCTTAGGTCGCTTTTCTTTCTCTTACGTATTTTTTTTTAACCGTGGCGTGTCTTCACAAACGCGTGATTATTGCTTGTAATATTATGATGCTTATGAACAATGGTATGTCATAGAACATATGTCTTAACAATACTATCATAAGGCATTCTACTAATTCTTCTCTCACATTCAATTTAATCAAAGTCAAACGCGAAAAAGGTAGCTATGTCATGACTTGTGCAAAAATGTAATCTTCTATCCCCTTTTACTTTCAAGATGTGTATCTATAAAGGTATACTTTATTCTGTACTGTGCTTCCCTGTAATAATATATCATTAACAATTGCCTTTTTATTTTTTAGAGGCTCTTTTCTCTTTGAAATACCGTAAGTAATATCTTGGTGATTATTTTACATCCTAAACTAATACATAACGCGTTTCATTTGTCAATAGATATATCGCGTAAAGCTTCATACAAGGTACTATAATTTTAACATTAATCATTATCCATTTTACTAAACACATTATTCACTTTATAAATTAGCTCGTGATACAGCTTAAGCACGGATAAAATGTAAGTACAACATCTACCACAGACACTTGAATATCACATTAATACCTTTTTCCGTAGCTTCAGCTCAAACAGAATCAGTTTTGCGTGGGTTTTCTAGCTTGAATTCACTGTCTGCTATACGTGTCATACGTGGCCTGTCTGCGCTACGTGGTCTTCCCTGTCTGTCAAGGCTGAATAGCCTGCCTGGTCGGCCTGCGTAGCCCCGAGGGGCAAACAGGCACTTTTTTCCAGTTTCTGATTTTGTGGGGCAATTTTTTCTATAAATAAATTTCGCTTTTTAAGGCAATTTTAAAAAAAAAACTATTTTCGTATTTTGTATTTGTATTTTATTGTTTTGCTTGTACAGCAAGGAAACGTAAACAAAACCACAAAACCAAAAAGGAAACAATTTTCATATCTATTTTTACTTTTTTTTTGGGAAAAAAATGGTCTTGAAATTTTAAAGTTCAAACGTGGTTGTATATCATTGCGATGTCTGAAGGCAGCACCGAGAGCAGACCACTTAAACTTTAATGGACTCAAAGGTCTACTTCCATTGATGCTGTTTTTGGTCTTGAAAGATTACAACATGCACTGTACAAGTCATTTCGTTTAGCTAGCGTACGAGGGGACTGCAAGCGCTTATTGTAATCAACATACAATTCAATCAGATTAAAGGTGCTAACCGAATTCCAGTTTGTGCAATTGTATCTTGTATCTGAAACTTAATAGTGGCGTCAGCATCCGTGGCATCAGTAGTAGCAGTAGCAGGTGCAGCAGGAAAGATGACAGAAACCTCCTGTTCTTCTGAAGCAGTAGTAGCATGCGACGGTTGCTACTATAGGCTACACAATTCGGTGTGACTTCAATAAATTGGTGATTAATAGGCTTGTTGTTGTTGTGATTGTTCATTTTAAAAAAATGAAGGTAAGGAAACAGTAATAAAATTTTATTTCGTATTTTGGCATTTTAGTAGTCCATTTTAGGACCGTTTATTTCTGGAGGCTTCATATTCGATGCGCACAGACTTTTCATTTTTAAGCAGCAGATTAATAATAAAAAATATGGCAACATTATTTTTAACAGAATTCAATTTAGGAAAAAAATATTCATAAAAAAACATTTTTTAAAAAAAAAAAAAAAAAAAAAAAAAAAAAACGGAGCTTGTCCATATTAGTACATCTCCTATTTAAGATCTCAATATATTTTGTTTCATGTCAGCAGCCTAAATCATATAAATCTAAGAATTTTGGTCCGTTATCCGTCAAGATCCAATAGGTTTGCGTACTCTGGTCCGTTATCCCCCAAAATCCGTTGATTTCAGGGTACTCCGGTCCGTTATCCCTGAAAATCCGTTGACTTCAGGGTACTATGGTCCGCTATCCGTTGTTATGCGATAATTCCGAGAATTCCGGTCCGTTATCCCTACAGATCCGATACTTAAGGTTCCCTGATTACATTAAACTAATGACCAAAATAGATTATAAGAAATTAGAAACGGTTCAGAAATGGTTCAAGTATTATAAACTTCTATGGAAATTATCTGAGCTAATTTCACATATAAGGTAAGTCGCAAATCATATCAGAACATCCTTAAACGTGCGTTGAATTTTAAAAACGTATATACAGCGCCCTCTAAAGTATAGTAACCGTTTAAGGTTTTCGTATTTTGTAAAATGACATCACATACTGTTTCATAGGGAGACTTTCCAAACATTTTTATTTTTCTGTTTTTTGTTATTATTAAGTTATGGATCCGGTTAACAGCGCTTCATAGGAAATATATAAGCTATTCTCACTCTTATAAGGTGTTAAACCCTTTTTTTCCATAACCTTTACTGAAACATTTTTATTCAAAACATGTAACCCATTTTTGAGCCTACCATATTTTTGTTTAGTCCAACGCTGCTCTAATGGTATCATTCCTTTGGAGACTGGTTCTAGTATTGGTGTATTTAACAGAGCTATACACAAAATTAATCATGATAACGTCGTTCAATAAGTGGGCCTGTGACGAGTGGATCGGGGCAAGAGCAGAACCGAATAATTATTATGGTGAGGACAAAAGATTCAGACATTATATATCTATTTGTATTAATAAATATAAAATGGATGAGAGTAGAAAACGTTTAATTCAAAGAAAAAAAATAGATAAGATCTTGAATACAGAAATATCAACAAATAAACATGACTACAGTACCAGAGGAGTGTGTGGTGACATAACAAGGATATAGCCATATTAGAGCTAACAAAGCTTTATCCATGCTGATACCATTTGTGATATAAGCTTAACAATAAATGTCATAGTAAGAACTATAAAGATATTACATCACAAGTCTAATTTAGTGCGTCTGAGAAATACTCAAAATTTAGTTTAAAGCAAAGAGATTTAAGAAGACTTAACATTTATTAGAAGTAATTTATGACGATAGTTTTTGACTGCTATTTATGATGGATTATTTATTGAAATAAAAGAACCTACTAAAAGAAATACAATTATGTGAGCAAAAGTTAAACGTAAATAGGAGGGAGAAAATCTTACCACCAAGTTGGTATGGACGAATTGAATGGAAAGACAACAAAAGAAACTACAACTACAACAAAATGACACACAACTACCCTTCACAGCATACAATTAACGACTGCTAGATGTCAATGCTTCAGTTAACACTTACCAGTGTGTCAAAAGTTAAAAGGAGAAAAGATAAAGTAAAGAAGAGGAAAAAAAAAGAGAAGGGAAGAGGATGATGCTTCCGCATACAACGTTTTATATTTGAAGGCAGGAACATGGAATAAAAAAAAGGTGGAGTTACAAAAGAGACAAAATCACGTTACTTCAAATCAGAAGAAGACTAAATTAGTGACTATGTAATAATCGTATACATTTTTTGTTAATCAATGATAACTTCAAGATGGCACTAGAGATATGAACACAGCAGACAGTCTTTTATATAGATACTCGTAGATTTCATTTATTAATAAAAGACATTTTATGAACAGTCTGACACTACTCCTATAGTCATTTTATAATTTTACTTTACCTTAAAACACAACAATATATACAATGCTACAAGTCCAAAAACGGCCATACTGAAGCCGCAATTTTGCATAGCATAACGTAAATGGCGACATATTACAACATTGAACTGAGAGTTTGTTTTTTAAAATGAAATTCCTACGATAGATTGATCGTTTTGCGTTGAAATATTTGCTACATTGATAGACAGCAAATACAAAGTAATCGGCCTTCTACTTCATTAAATGTTTAGTTGCTAAGAATTACGATACATAATTGAAACTGTGTATAACAAGTATTTATTCGAAATATTCGAAAGGGTAATCAGGAACTGACAAAGTAGTGGTAAAACGATAAACAACAACAAGCCGTCAATCGTAAATTTCTGGACAGGGAAAGAATTGAAATACATTTTGAATAGATCCAGCAAAGCGAAGATGAATGGATGCGGTATACAGGATAATTCCTCACTAAAAACCAAGAAAATAACTGTATCAGCAAATACTATTTTTGACATATTTTTAAACAACCTACATTGTACGGATACCTAAAATACCGTTGCCTACGCCGCTATGCAAATTATTAGAACAAAATAACTTGATTTCGTCTCAAGCAGAAAGCAATTAAAAAAAAGCATATACAAGAAAAAGACTAAAAAATATTTCGTAAAAGTCGAAAACAATTTATAAAAATATGGAAATAGTTTTAATCGATTACGAATTGTCTTTTCTGAGAATTTCAGTAGTTAAAAAAAAAGTATATCCCATAAAGCAGATCTGATGCATGAACTTAAAAAATAATGGTGTCAACAGACAAAACGTCCGACAGCCACAGTACTAGACCATGTTTTAACAGTTTTAGAATCATATCAATTAGCCATCTACGAAATAATATGGACCGACATCTAAAATGGACCAGATAACCATAGGATTTTGCAAAAAAATGCCCAAGTTGAAGAATAAGTACTATTTATAGCATAAGTTTGAAGAAGTAGTATTTGAAAAAGTTTTAGCGCTAACTAGATCGTTTCGAAATATGATATCAACACCTTAGAATTATTGCTGAGGTAATAGTCTTAAAATCGCTAGACGGCAATTTCAAAGAACGTAAAAATACTTTTTTGGATCAATGCAATTGATGCAAAAATACCCGGAGTGGTCGTGGTACTTACTTAGGCAATTTTGAGCAAGATATAAAAAGAGTGAACAAATAATGAAAACCAGCGATGACATTATTAAAAACACCCACATTTGGCAAGCCATGGAAATTACGACTGTGCTAAACGCACATAAAATGAAACCATCGGTAATCCAAATTTATATATATTATCCAAATTTGGAATTCTGACACATTAAATACAATGGAAGAGCCGATAGAAAATATTATTAGAAATCATTGAAGTAATTTGTCGGCGACAACGTACCCTTTAATTCATGTAGAATTCAACAGTCAAGATAAATTTACGGACTAGCAATTCTAATAACAGTCAGCTTTTAAAATAGTATAAATAGACCACATTATTTCATAGTTAAAACTTCAGTCAAATAAAGTAACAAGGACTTATAATCGTACCTATAGTACCATTGTTTTTTTTACGTACTTTATATTTCTTTCATCAAATCAGAAGTAATTGATTTGTAATAGTGCTCTTCATCAAATTAGCAACCTTATCTAAATAACTGGTAGACACCATCAATCTTCGCTTCAACTTGTTATGAGCACCGTCAACTCTGGATGTGTTGATAGTGCCAAGGTGAAGGTGCTTATTGATCCAAGGGTTGGCAAAATGTTGTTTGAACGGCACCGATGTTGACTCACGATACGCAAATGGTAGGAGGTATCTTGCGTTCAACCCGCTAATATCTCTCAGGAAACTCCACTTTCGCTCTCATTCTTCATTGAAACTGTTTATACATCAATTCCATCTGACCATAGACTCGTTTTAATCATCATCTGTTAAAAAATATTTTTTGCATTTGGCCAACACCTTCTTGTTGATATACCAACGGCAGATAATAATTGTGCTGGATTCAAAAACTGTCTCTGAAGCACCTTTTAATGCCAAATCACGGTCAATGGCAATAGTCATATTCTTGATTACCTTTATGTGATTCTCTCCAATCTAGCATGCAGTGGAATGACCAGCGAGAGAATTAGCAGACTCATGATTATGTTCACTATAATTTAAGTGCAGGGTGAAGTTTGCAGTATAAACACCTTGATCTTTTCTCCCACTGGAACCGACCACCCACTTGAAAGGGCAATTGGTGTGTCCTGTCTTCGAAAGTAGTTTACCGGTGGACTTACTGCTGTTTTTTTTATTACGATCGCAATTGAAATCTAAAGACTAAAGGCAACGATCGGTGTAGGAACGAGAACGGCCCAAAGAAACAAGGTAGCCGTTATCCTTCCAGTGATCGATCACAAACCTTTCGAGAGTTTCGCAAGAGCTAAACTCAAGTTGAGAAGGGGCAGAAGTAGACAAAACGACGAAGGTTTCGCTCTCGAGTTCTTCATCGAGATCATTGTCGTGATCATCGTTAAGATCATCTACTTCGTAGACGCTTTCAAAATTTCTTCTGGTTCGAAAGGGAAGGGGCTCCTGCAAATCCTCGTCAGAAAGGTAAGAGGTGTTTTCGTTTGACAAAGACATTGAAACAATCAAAGTTAAGACAAACGTAACGGGAGTGGGATGAAAGTAAAAAGGCACAATTTATTAATGCTTTGACAGAGCAGTCCCGCCGAAATGTCAAAATATAAGTGAAATCAAATACGCAGTTCCATTGGTCAAAAAAGAGCAAAACAAATCGAGGGGGTGAAAATAAGAAAAGAAGGGGTGAAAATAACAATTCCCTTATTAGGTCAGATATTCTATGTGTGGTGATCTGCTATATTGTTGCTACATTAAATAAATCCATATCTATGACTTCAATACATTAAGAATAATTAAGGAATCAATTACCCAATATAGATAGTTAGTACTATCATATCACAAGGTTACAAGAACACAGTGACTAAGGCTTACTAAAGTTATGGAAGGACATATAGAAATGTGAATTTAGAAGTTAAGTTATTTTTGTACCTTTCTAAGCATTTTCTTCATATAAAGAAAAAAACGTCCCCACATTAAAAAAATCTTACTATGAATAAATTTCCTTTTATATTACTTGTACTAGTCGGAGATGAATGCTAAAAATGTCACAGATCACGTTTGGCACAATACAATGTAAATGCACTCTAGAAGAACAAGAAAAACAAGCAAAAATACTTAACAGCTACAATAAATGGTGCAAAATCAAGGAAGCAGCAAATTACTGGAAACAAAGAGATCAGGCGAACAACGGTGAAGCAAATGATGATGATGTCGTTTCAACTCCAAAACCCAGTCCAACAAGCTCCGATACATTGGAAACAACGGAGACTGTGGAATCAGCACCCTTGGACGAAGCCAAAAAAATGATTTCCAAGGGTCTTCAAATTAACGATGGCCACAGAGACCGTAACTATCAAGATATTTCGATTTCATAGACCCGATTTAAGCGTACTATATTGGAGTCGTTGTCAACATCACTTCTAACATTTGAAAGTCACTTACAGCATCTTCTTGCTCTCTCCAACGTCCTTCTTATTGAAAAAAAGAGTCCCCATACAGATTTGGAGCGTCACTTCACTTCCACAACAGATTGTAACAGGAAAAGCATATACAATTCTCTTAAATTCAAGGGTACGGACCATAAATTCCTCGCTAATATTATGATGGTGCTCATATCAATTGTTAACGGCCAGAATTGTGGAACATCGAGGATAGATACGGTGACTAAAGTTCTGACATTAACAAGTAACATCACTGATCCCATGGTCACACAATTGCTCTCATATGTTAACTCGATGGTTGAAACACTCCCATTTGATAACCAAACAGAAAAAATCAAAGAGTTTGAGTTATGCACCAGATATCTCCAGCCACTTTTTCCACCACTTTTTGACAGTGGTGATGATAATATTATCTTCAAACGAACTAATACTAATGGATTGGACGATAACTTAATAAAAAGTCGACCAGATGGATGCATAAAAATGTTTCAAAAATCAATCGTGTTTATTGAGGTAAAACCAATGGACAAGGCAAAGAATCACAGAGAAATCAATGTTGATTTGCATCGTTTACGTATATTTTCAAAAGAGGCAACAACCCAATACAAGTTGAAGCACACATTTGTAGTAATGGCGATTGGTCAGTTCGCTATAAATGAATTCGGAAGAACATACATACAGTCACTTGACATACTTAACCCTGACCATATTTTTTTAGCCAAAAACGTAAAATTTTACTTAAGTGAGCCAGTTAGTAATGTGCTTGCTATGGTTGAATTGGATACTATTCGCCTTCCATTATCACTAGATGAACTGCCTCAAATTGTTGCTTATCTTGATCACTTATACAATGTTATGGAAGCAATTTTTAATTGTTGTTACAATGAATCAAATGTAAGTGATAACTGCGACTTTGATGTTTCATTAGAGCCTCGAGTCATAAAAGCGATTACCGAGCGATCAGTAGACAGAACTTGCGTGACTTGTTTTTACTCCTAATATCCTTAATTCGTACCTTATACTGGATTTCCCACCTCATTTTCCAATAAATGATTAAATTTTTTCCAAAGTCAGACGCTAATTTTTCCAAATGTGGTTGATAATTTTTCCAAAAGGCTACAGCTAAGTTTTCCAAAAAATGTCTTTATTTTTTCCAAAATTAAATTTTTGTGAATGTTATTATAACATCTTTTCCTTAGCAACACAACGAGGAAAAAAAGATACCGAATGTTTAATCCATCCGCGGCAATCGTTCAATGTTACGTTGGTAACAGACTCCATTATTATCGGTGTTAAAAGATCACTTGAGTCCAAAGGGTTCCTTTTAATACCTGCCTTTACTTTGGACCAAAACTCTTCTATAAGATTTAAAAACGGAGAGTAAGGAGGTAAATAAACGTATTTATATCCTCTATTCTCAATAAGCTCTCGAATTGCAGCTGGCTTATGTATAGGTGCATTATCCATTACAAGATAGTAGCCATGGAGCCCATTTCGGTCCAAGCAATCCATCATGCTGCTTAAATACGTAAGGAAGTGCTCTGACCGCGTGCCCACTCGGCCATTAATCTTCACGTCTCTACCGTCAACCTTTCTTTTCTTAGTGGCAACAGATGATGTAGGTTTTCTAAGTGAAATGTCTATAACACCATCAACTGAAATAGCACTCAAAATTGTAATTGATGTACTTCGTGCAGATGGAACGATGGCTTTGGCAGGTGTTCCTCTTTTAGACCATCCTCTGTTGCGAGTGATGTTAACATTGAACCCGGCCTCATCTATAAAAACGCAATTTTTCTGAAAATCCATTTCCTCATCGGCTAGCCATGTTTCTACAGCGAGTTTTCTTTGCTCAATAACATCTTTATGGTTTCTCCTGGCAGGTATTTTTTCTAATCTCTTCATTGATAAAGCACAATAAACCCGCAAAAATCTGTGGAGAGCAGATCGACTTATGGACAGATTTTCAGTTTCGAAGGTTCTACACAAGGATTCACTAATTTGATCTAGGACAGCTGTGGGTTTATCGTCGATATAACTGATAATCCGTTCGGCATGATGCTGTTTTAATTTGAATAAAGACCCTTTTGCTCCTCTCTTTTTTCGGCGAATAAGTCCATGCTCAGGGTCATTGTTATAAGTTTTCTTATATTTGTAGCCTGACCATAATGCAATACCTGTGCTTTCACACGCAGATTTTACACTCTCCCCAGAAGCAATCAAATCAATAAAATGATGAATCTGTTCGTCGGTATACTTTTGGTAAGGTTTTTTCCCCTTCGAATTCAGCTTTAGTTCTGGTTGATTCAGGTGAGTCTCACAAAAATTATTCACTCGGGCTTCAGTCTCGATTGATGTTTCTGTGACAAGTTCTTCGTCGTCTTCCTCGTCTGTTACGATGTCATCAGCGACCAAGCCTAACTTCTCAGCAAGCTCATCGTCACACTCCATGGCCATGACCATGTCATCTTTCTTTAAAGTGCTATTCAATTGGTACAGATTAATATAAGCCACTTCACTTGTAAGATCCAGCTCCTCTTCCAGGGACATGTCGCTCATAAGATTGTCGATGCTCATTCTAGCGTAAACGTTTTTTGGAAAGTATAAAATCACTTTTGGGAAAAATTAGCTGTAGCCTTTTGGAAAAATTATCAACCACATTTGGAAAAATTAGCGTCTGACTTTGGAAAAAATTTAATCATTTATTGGAAAATGAGGTGGGAAATCCAGTATACCGCCTTATAATTTTACTTACCTACAAACACAACAAACCCTCTTTGCAACAAGAAAAACACCCCAAAATGACATCAATGACAGCTATTGGTACACGTCGTTACGTGGAGTATCATCACTCGCCCAAAGCTTGGATGACCTCTGAGATCTTCTCGGTTTACATCAAAAAAATTGGATATTGCTTTTGGTCGAGAGGGTAGATAAGTGGCTATTCTTTCGAACAATGCCGCAGTGCATAAGTTGAAGTTCACGCCGGTGAACATGAAGTTAGTGTTTCTTCCTGAAAACACAACGAGTATACTATTGTTAGAAAATATTAGATCAAAATGTAAAAAAAAAATTCGTTCACAAATAAAAAAAAATTCGTTCACAAAGTAAAAAAATTAAGTTTATCTTCCGAAAAAAAATTAGCTTACCACTTAAGTGTATCTATAGTTGACCTGTGATAACAGGCGTGGAAAATTCTAGTTGCGACGTCGACGTACATTTTTAACGTTTGCTTCTTTATTTTTGGTTCTTGCTCTTCTCCGTTGGTTCTAGGAAACCTATACACGTCGAAATCTTGGGGGAATGCCATTTTCAGTTGGAAGTGATCGAAAAATATCAACTATGTTCAAGCAAGGCTCCTTATCAAGATTCCACAGACGAGGAACAATTATATTTGTGTTATCAGTCATAGCTCTACAATTTTGATTTGTACATCTGTCACAAGAACAAAAGAAAATTATTATATAAACAATTATAAACACGTAAAATCAGCATACCTTAAGAGGCCATGGCTGATTCCACGAGGATTTGTTCTTCGTCTATGAGGGCGCATGTTATCGGCCATCCGAAACGTTTCAAGACTTTTACGTTCACAAGCTGGTCAGTACTGACTTGCTCTAAATTCATCAATCAAGTACAACCTTTTTCCAGCTTTTTGAAGCAACCGACGGAATCCAAGGCCTCGGACCGCTCATAAAATCTTGTAATAGAAGATGACCAGTTACACATAACATAAACTGCTTCGAGACCAAAATGTTTATCTAGTTTTGAAATAAGATCCTGGTTTCCTTACTGTGTTCTAACATAGGCAGATAGCCGCAATGCTCTATGCAAGGGATGAGCAGTACGATGGTTGGTTCGGAAGTTGACTTAGTGCCTTTGGATGATGCCTGTCGTACTGGACCTGTTTTCAAGATACTGTTCAAATTCATCT